ATCGATCTTAGAGGACCCATCATCAGTCGATATCAGAACAGTGTCAGTTGGGTTCGCCTCGCTCTCGGTACTATCTGCTTCGAAGCTCTCGGCGTCGGATTCCACTGGAAAGTGTCGCGGCTCTGATACCATGAAGTTATTGAGCCGAATAACACTTGTATATTGATTAGAAGGTATGTACAGCAATATATACATAAGCAAGACTGATCATATCTTCGAGAATAAAGGAGACAGAATCAGAGGAGAATATCGGGAAGTGAATCGCGTAAATCTCTCAATTATAACTACCCAATATCTCTCCTAATAATAACATATATTTACATTAAATAATTGCTATTTCTAACCACAGAATCCTTACCTGAACATTATCAAAACTCATTTAGATCCTTCAGGAATATGTAGATGCGCCTCTTTTCTACAACTTTTTATATCATGCAGCTTCTTCAGCTCAGCTTCAGGTGTGTGTCTCTAATTGGCCCAGTTGCTGCCAAAAGTTAGGCAATTTACTAAATACTGATTTGCTGGCCTTTTTCCATGTTTTGTGTTATGGAAAATAGAAAAGAAAGTAGAAAAGAGTGTGAGAAGAGTAGAGAGAAAAGAAATAAGAGAGAGAAAGACAGGAAATAGATTCTGATCAACTAATCTCCATGAACGTCCATAGACCATTTTACAAGAGGGAATGTCCTAGTATTTATAGGACTCTAGGAGATGCTGGGGAAAAAAATAAAAAAATAAAAAATAAAAGCCGGAAAAGACATAATTACCCTCAACAATTATTAACTACCTAAGGAACATGCTGTATATTATTTTTTGTATCATTTTACCTCATGAATAGCACATTTGATCTCAAATATCTACTGCACTTTCTTGGATTGAATGTGCTTCTTCAGCAGCATCCTAAATTTCAGCAATTGTTTCATAGTGCAATGTTCAGCTCCCTAGACTTGGTGAGCGATGCCATTATTTGATTATTCTTAGCCTTCTGTGTTTTATATTTCGGATCAGTTGAGCCTAGCATTTTATTTCATTAGTCAAGTTCCCTTCTCTCCCACACAAATGTACCTAATGACATGCCTATGCCAAAGTGGGTAGTTGTCCCCTTGAGTTTATGGCCTGTGATATTGCCCCTTGATTTTCTTGAGTTGTTTGCATTGGGATTTGGGTGTAGCATTGGCAGATCTCTAAAATCTATATTTAGGCATAAGGTTTGGGAAGAATATAGGGCTGAATTTCAAAACAGGAAAAAAAAAAACTGCAAGCAATTTGATTAGCAAATGGTGCAGTACCAAGCGCCATAACTTTTTGTTTTCCTTAAGTTCATAGAACAAACTCTGCCTATGTTTATAGTTGGTCTTAAGTTTGGGTAAAAAAGAAGGGTTGTGTTAGGTCATCAATAGCCAACGTAAAACTTTGTTGAATGTATCATGAACATGGACAATAGACGTTATAATGTTAATGCTAGGTCGTTGCCCGTAAGTAATGCGCTGCAAGGCTCGAGTACAGTGATAAGTGAGTTAAAGCTACTGCATCGGCCCTCGGATGTAGTTTTAAATGAGCAAGGGCTACCTCGTCATTTTGGACATGCGTGGCTAAAGACGTTAGTCTATGAGAGCAAGATTAGATTTCATACTTGGAATGTTGGAATATTGAATTTAAATCTGTAGAAGTTGTAGGGGTTATGATTCAAAGGAAAATCAATATCTTATGCCTGCAAGAAACAAAATGGCGTGTTGAAGAAGCTAAGGATATTTAAGATTTTAAACTTTGGTATACAGGAAAAGTAAGTGCACACAATTGAGTAGGCATCATTATTGATAAGGAGTGGAAGAAGAACGTTGTAAAAGTTAGTAGAATTGGAGACAGAATTATTTCCTTAAAAATGATAGTTGGATGTGAGACTGTTAATATTGGTAGTGCTTATGTGCCTCAAGTCAGGACAAATGCCAGTCTTAAGGAATTATTTTGGAAGGATCTAGAGGGGTTGATTCAATACATACCACAGAGTGAAAGGTTTTTTATTGGAGGAGACTTTAATGGGCATGTCGGGAGGGAGGCTGGTCAATATGCAAGGGTGCATGGTAGTTTTGGTTTTGGAGAGCTAAACAATGAAGAATAAACTCTTCTTAATTTTTCATTGGCGTATGATTTTAAAATTGCCAACACCTGTTTCTAGAAGAGAGATGAGCATCTCATCACTTACAAAAGTGGAGCCTCAAGGTCACAGATTGATTTTCTTTTGGTTAGGAACATAGATAGAAGACTATAAAAATTGCAAGGTGATTCACGGGGATACTGTAACGACACAACATAAGGTCCTTGTCCTTGATGTGTGTATTATGAGTAAAATTCAAAAAGGCAACAAGTAGTAGCACCAAGGATTAGGTGGTGGCAATTAAAAGATGAGAAGCAAGATAATTTCAAGCGGAATTTTTTGGATAAAGGAATTTGAAAATCTCAGGGAAGTGCTAACATCATGTGGGAGGATATGGCTAAAAAGATAAGGGAGGTTGCAAAAGTAGTTTTGAGAGAATCAAAAGGTTATGGTTTGGGAGATAAGGAGTCTTGATGGTGGAATAATAGTGTATAGGATAAAATTAAACATAAGAAAAACTGTTTTAAACTCATATATTTGTGTAACAATGAGGAAAATTAGGAGAGGTACCGTATGGTTAAGAAGGAAACTAAGAGCTCTGTGAGTGAAACTCGTTTTAAAGCTTTTGAAGAATTTTATAAGAGCCTTGAAACGAAGGAAGGAGAACGAAACATTTATAAGATTGCTAAGAGTAGAGAAAGAAAATTAAGAGATCTAGAATAGGTAAGGGTATAAAGGATGAAGAGGGAAGAATTTTAGTTACAGATAATGAAATTAAAAATAGATGGGAGACTTACTTTTTCAAACTTTTCAATGATGGAGAGGGTTCATCTAATAACTTGGGAGGATTTAGTAACCTATGAAGGAGAACAAAATTTGTCATTCTATCGAATAATACGTGATAAGGAGGTAAAGGAAGTTCTTAAGAAAATGGCAAATAGTAAAACCAATGGACTTGATTGTATATCTATTGAAGTGTGGAAATATTTAGGTGAAGAAGGGTGAGATGGTTAACTAAGTTATTTAATGTGATTTTACGGTTCAAGAAAATGCCTAGCGAATGTAGGAGGAATACATTAATTCCTATTTATAAAAATAAAGGAGATATTCAGAATTGTACTAACTATAGAGGGATTAAACTCATGAGCCACACAATGAAATTGTGGGAGAAAGTAATTGAGCACAGGTTGAAATTGGAGACAAGTATTTCTGAGAATCAATTTGGTTTTATGCCAGGTAGATCAACTACAGAGGCGATTTATCTACTAAGGGGATTAATGGAAAAGTATCGTTGTAAAGATAAAGATCTACACATGGTTTTTATTGATTTGGAAAAAGCTTATGACCGTATACCAAGAGAAGTGCTTTGGAAAGCGTTGGAAAAAAAGGGAGTACGGATTGCTTATATTAAAGCCATACAAGATATGTATGAGGAGGTAAAAACTAGTATAAGAACGCCTAGTGGTCAAACAAAGGATTTTCCTATAAAGATTGGATTACATCAGGGATCATCTCTGAGTCCTTATTTGTTCAACTTGATTTTAAATGTTTTGACGGAACATATTCAAGAGGAAATCCCGAAATGTATGCTCTTCGTGAATGATATAGTTCTTATGGCAGAGACAAGAGAAGAGATTAATTGCAAACTTGAGTTATGGAGGAGGACATTGGAGTCGAAAGGTTTTCGTCTGAGTAGAAGTAAGACGGAATATTTATATTGTAAATTTGGTAAAGGACTATTCGACAATAATTTGGAAGTGAAATTGGGAGATCAAATTATACCTCAAGTGGAAAAGTTTAGATATTTGGGAGCCATTATTCAAAATGATGGCGAAATCAGTGAAGATATTTCACATAGAATTCAAGCTAGGTGGTTTAATTGGAGAAAAGCTAAAGGAGTTATTTGTGACCGTAAGGTGCCTAATAAACTTAAAGGAAAGTTTTATCGCAATGCTATCAGACCGGCAATGTTATATAGTAGTGAATGCTGGGCTTTAACGGGACAGCAAGAGCATAAAGTTGGAGTAGCAGAGATGAGAATGTTACGATGGATGTGCAGACATACACGTAAAGATAAAATTCGAAATGAGCACGTATGCGAAAAAGTGAGGGTGGCACCTATTGAGGAAAAAATGGTAGAAAATCAGTTGAGATGGTTTGGGCATGTACAAAGAAGACCAAGGGAGGCACCAGTGAGAAGAGTGGAACATATAACTTTGAGTCCGATTAAGAGAGGTAGAGGAAGGCCTAAGAGAACACTCTTGGAAGTTGTTGAACGCGATCTCTTAATTAATAATATTCCTAAAAGCTTGATAAACGATAGAGCATAATGGCGTCTTGCAATCCATGTAGCCGACCCCACCTAGTGGGATAAAGGCTTGTTGTTGTTGTTGTAAGAGGGGTAGAAGAAGGCTTAAGAGAACACTCTTGGAAGTTGTTGAATGCGATATCTTAATTAATAATATTCCTAAAAGTTTAATAAATGATAGAGCACAATGTCTTGTAATCCATGTAGCCGACTTCACTTAGTGGGATAAAAGCTTGTTGTTGTTGTTGTAAGTTCATAAAACAAGATACATAACATAGGGACGATTATCAAAAATTATAATATGATATTTGGATCCCTTAAAAGTCAGAACCTAATTGATAAAAATTAAATAATAATAGTAAGGTAAAACAAGATAATTCTAACATAAGTAGAGCCAATAAATAAAGAATAGATTATACATTACATTTTCAGCCCTATATATGAAATTTTTAAATTTGGGACATTTTGTTATATCAAATATCCAGTTTGAAAACATTACAATAGTCACTTTTCATTTGTCTGACCTGATTGTACTTCTTTAATACATTTACAATTATTTTTATTCAAGTCCTAATGCTAATTATGTTTGAAATCATTAAGGTAAAATCACAACCAGTTGTAGATACAGCCAGACAATTGATATGGTAATTTTCGTGCACTTCTGAATTATAATTCAGTTCACATATGTTATTTTGTGTGATAGCTTCATATATGATATGTTTCATGGGTATGTTGCTATGTTGTGTAAATTTGACCAAAAGAATTTACAAACTTTGCTGGAGCAATAATGGTGAAACTAGAATTTTTACAGTATAACAAATAGAATTCAAGGTTTTCATTCTTTCTAGAACATGATGAACCCAGATTTAAGTGGGTCTTTCCTAAAAGTAAGAAGAGGGCCAATTCAAGTAAGCAATGGGGAAAGGCTTATGTAATGAGGAATCTATAGGAGGCCCATAAGAAATTAGTGATAACATGGTGGAAAAAGGACAAAATGAGAACTTAGATGGAAGCAACTAATTTTGTTCGTAAGTACATGAATAGAGGTATTTTGATTTTTTTTTTCCAAGTTGTTATGTTGGGGAGCTCAGAACTTAGTTGGGTGTAGAAATTTTATCTTGGGGAGAACCTGGCTTCTTGAATGCCAAGTTTTTTTCCCCCTTTCATGTTTGAGTCTCAATGGAGTGGGTTAACTTAAAACCCAACTTTTGAGGTTTTCCAATTTACTGGAGCGACCAAGGAGTATGGGTAGTACTTTCGTTGGCAAGATTCCTGAAATTTAAGGGGGAGGTGGCACTAGGAATATAGGTAGCAAATTTAACATTCCCACCACCCCTACCACTATAGTAGTAATAGTAGCAATGGGAGAATTTGGCAGAACCTGAGAAAATAACTAGAGTGTATTGGGACTCTGTTTTAGGATGAAGAGAAATTCGATCATACCTGGTAAAATTGGAACCTCAGATTATTGCATAATATCCAAATAAAATTTTGCTGGCCACACTGTTTGGCTCTTAAATCCCTTCTGAATCTGAAAGCAATCAAAACAGAAGCAAATTTGGGAGAAAAACATATCAAAACAAAACAACAAAGGGACATTGCATTTGAGCTTAATAAAAATTCAGAGGGGAATTTTTTCCAAACAGGAGAAAATAACACAGGGATGTCTCATTTGAACTTAATCAGATTTGAATTTTTAAGTTGCTAATGGGCTAAAATCAAGCCCACAGCCAGAAGGTGAAAAGTTGTGGTCTGGATTTTTACTTTTAGCATTTTATGGTCTTGATTTTTCTAGCTGCACTAAATGTAGTTCTTTTAATGTATTTATTTGGTGTTGTTGGAATGTTCTTTATTAAGGATGGAAATGTAATTTTGTTCCTATACTTGGAGGATTGTTCCGAGGCTATTATTTGAGACTCATGATCAGAAATGTAAAATAACTCAAGATTCATTTTGCATCATACCTTTGTAAACTTGATTCTTTTATTCTCTATATCCTCTGAGTGATGAGGTCCCTTGCATACATTTATCTCAAACGTGATGGATTGTTTACTAAAACCCAGGGTTAAGTGCCGAATATCTCTTTCCTAATGCTAGCCCCAATTTTGCTAATGTTCATTGAGAGATTCTGGTAAAAAATGTCATTATTGTATGATCAGTTTTGAGGGTTTTTTGCAAGTTACCGAATGTTTATATTGTCACTCTCACTTTTCATAATCTCATTTTCCTTTTCGTTTTGGAGTCTCTCAAATAATAGCTTTCAATAGCAAAGATACTTTTGGTTTGAGTTGGTGACCTTTTCAAACTCTAATATCTTGGTTTTTTATTTGTTTTTTAAGGACATTTCCCTCTCCCTTTTCTGTCACGCATGAAACAACATGAATGTATTGATCATCTTAATTATTGGTTGACTTTTCATATGGTATATGCAGGTGCGGTTCGCATGACCATAACTTATATGCTCTTGATTACAAAAGACATTGTTGTGTCTATAAGCTACCTTGTGGAGGTAGTATATATGGGTCGCCTGCAATTGATGGGGTACTGACTTGCCTTTGCAATTGGTACTGCGTTGTCAGTTTGTGTGATTGGTACTGCGTTGTCAGTTTCTGTGATGAATTTTATTTCAGTTGCCTTATCTTGTATTTTACTGGTGGCCGGTATTGTTAGCTATCTATCTATATGCAGTCTTATGCCTTTTTTAAAAATTATTATAATTAGGGTTAAGATGCAAAATTATCCATAAAGTATTTTGTGAAGAGCTGTTGGCATTCTTAACTCAAATGTGATGCAATTTTACCCATCACTTCTAAAAAGGGGTGCAAAAAACTCCAATCCTTAGTGAAGGCTAGACATCCGTTAACTAAGATTGTGGATCCGTCCCACATGTTGTGCCATGTGAAAATGGATTGGAGGCAAAAATATCCATAAAGTATTACATTGTGGTGCAATGCTCCCATCAATCCTAAAAAATGGTATAAAAATCTCCAATCAAAAAATAAAAAAATCACGCTTCATGGCTACATAAACACCCTTTGATTCAAAATTCATCTAGGTGTTTAACCCCCTCAAAAGGGAGTCAGGGGAAGGGACGAGCTTGGCGACTACAGAGGGGGGGGGGAGGAGATTCAAACTAACTTGGGTAGCAGGGAAAATAGGGAGTCAAGAGGCCAGGTAGCATTCAGATGGTTTTTGAATCGGAGTGTTATCTGGATCTTGCTTTGTGGCAAGATGAAACATTATGCCTAGGGTTAATTTCTGCAAGTTAGGACAAATTTGAACGTATGTATTTCCACATCTGCACTTCATGTCAAATAAAATATCAATGTTTCTGACATTCACAATAAACATTAGTTAACGTGTGCTTTTGTTACAAATTGAAGATTTTAGCACAATTTTTTAGAATTAATGGGCAAAACTGCATCATAGTGTAGTATCTTATGGATATTTTTGCCCCTAACATGTATACACGTGATTCAACATGTGGAACGCACAACCCTAAGTTAATGGATGTCTAGCCTCCATTATGGATTGGGGATTTTTGCACTATTTCTAGGTTTGATAGGTAAAATTACACCATACTTGAGTTAAGGATGCTGATGGTTCATCATTGAATACTTACGAATATTTTTGCATCTTAAACCATATAATTATTATTTGACTATTCGGTAAGGAATGAGATAATAATATCACAGGTGTTGTGGATGATTATTATTTGAGTAGTGAATTAGTGATTTATGATATGGATAATAGTTCATTAACTAGAGATATTTGGTATTTTAATTAATTTAGATTATTAGGGTTATAGTTTAGAATTATTTTTATCTACAAGGTTAGGTTTGTCTATGTATTGGTTGCTTTGTAATTTGATTCAATAGACCTCTGTTTTATGACTCAGATTTATAACGTATAAAAAGCTTGTATTATCTTTTAAGTATGCATAACAGATGATTTTGTCCCCCCCCCGGCCCCTACCTTTTGGCTGTGGTGCATATTATCTTTCATTCTTTCTATGTGGCTTTATGAATGGAGTAGGTATTTTGACATAAATAATGAGATACTTTGCTTCTAAATTGATAATATTGATGAAGAGTAAGGTTATTTTCTGCTTTTCTGCTAGGCCACCACCAAAGAAGTAAAGTTCCAAGTTACAGCACAATAATCTTTCTTATTTACTGACTTTTGGCAGCATAGTATTTCTTCACTTTTTGCACTGGTCACAGGGTCCGAGTTTTAGTGACTTGCTATAAATTCTTTTTTATACGACATGCAATGATATTAGTGAAGCAAAATTTTCTTTCCTACTTATTATGCTACTCTTCATCCAGGTTCGTGGTGCCCTTTACGTTGCTTCAACTGGTGGCCGTGTGACAGCTATATCAATTAGGGTATGGTGGATCGAGAATTCTTGAAACATTAGATCATCACTGTCAACCTGAAAGGTTCTTCTATAAATTTTCAGGATTTTTCATTTAATACTTTGTGGCTTCAAGAGCTAGAGGTCCCAGTTTTTGGTTCTCTGGCCGTCAATCAGAATGGGATAAGTATGTGTTGTTCCTTCTTTCGTTAATGCAGTCAGCTTAAGCAATTAGCATGGTAAAGAAACTCTCTCCTTCTGCCAATATGATTTTCTGCGTTTTCATTGCAGTTATATGCTGCTTGGTAGATGGCCACGTTATTGCATTGGATCCAGATGGGTCCATAATTTGGAAGGTATTAATCTCATTACTTTAGCAATCCAAATATATGCTACCTGATATTGGGGTGAATCTTGACCAGAAAACAACTAATGGTCCAATATTTGCTGGAGCATGTATATCCTCTGCTCTTCCATCTGAGGTATATTATTTTCTTCTTGGATTTTGCCAACCTGATTATTGATCTGTTTTAACTATTTGCAAGCCTAATCAATCATGGTTAAGTGTTTTATTTTGTTCATTCTGCCACAGGTGCTTGTTTGCTCCAGAGATGGAAGTGTGTACTCATTTAAACTGGTAAGAGTGGCGGATAATTGTTTGACTCTATTTTATTATCTTATAACTAAAGCAAGGCTTAGTGAAGTCTGAAGGGTTTTGCCTCTCTTCATTGGCACATTGCATCGTCTAGGAAAGTACACAGTAAAAATGACAACTTCGATAATTATTAGTTGCATTTGTCGAATTATCCAGGATAAGGGCGATCTACAATGGCAATACAATGTTGGAGATCCAATTACTGCATCTGCCTATGTTGATGAACACTTGCTGCTCAAGTCTGATTCCTGCCGTTATTCAGACAGGTAAATTGTATTAGTATATTTTATTTTCTTCAATGAGAAGAAAACAAAAATTGTTAACTATGAAGCACTGATATTTAGAAAGCAATAAACTTGGGTACTTAAACATGTATACTTAAGGAATGCTTTTCCAATTAAGGTACGTATATTTTTTTTCCTCATGATTTACCCTTTTCATTAATAACATTTTTAGGGATTAAAAACCACTACTAAAATGTGATTGGAAAGTATATTAATTATATAATCTTGGGCATCTAAATTTTCTCTATTTAGAAATTGAAGCCACATGTTGTCCAATCCCTGGTCAACACTTAGATGTAACACATCAAACCAAACTGCACAAAAGCATTATTTGTGCTTTTGCATTGCCGGTGTCACATAGCTAGTTCTGTTAAATATGTTTTTCTTTTCAGGTTAATTTGCATATGTTCCAGTTCTGGAGGTATACACATTCTTAGAGTGAACTTGAATGAAGTTGAAGATACTGATCAACCAAGAACTAGTATGGAGGAATGTGCCAGGATAAATTTGGAGGGAGATATATTCTCTTCACCTGTAATGATTGGTGGCAGAATTTTCGTGGGATGCAGGGATGATTACTTGCATTGCATTTCTCTTGAATTTCCATCTGACACTTGAATGATAAAGCTTATTATGTATATAATAATTTTTTTTAATTTAATTGTTGCCAGTGATAAAGTCCTTGGGGTAAGGTTTTTTTTTTTTTTTTTTAAATTTGGTGTCCAATTCTGTGATTAAAAATCCTTCATGGTGTTTGTTACTAGTTGGTAAATGCCAGTGCCACAGAAAATTTCTATAGTCACAAGTGAAAATGGAAACTTATGAGATCCATTTTGTATTCCCTCTGTGGTAAAATATTTTTTAAGAAGTTGAATGTTTAAAAATATAAAGTATTTTTAATATTTTTAAGTGTAATTATTGTATTTTTAAAAAATATATTCATAATAAATAAATTACTTTATGTTTACTTCAGGGTGAAACATTTTATTTAATAGGGATAAACATGAAAAGATTATGTTAGTTTATTTGGATAAAATTCAGTTAAAAATGTTTTACATTTAAATTAAGGTATAGTTTTGCTCTTAAATTATTTTTGGAAGAATAATGTTGCCCTTAAATTATTCATCCTAGCAATGTTATCCCTAACTTAATCAAATCAGAGCAATGTTGTCTCTGTCATTAAAATGTCTGTTATTGTAGTTAGTGAAACTTGTTTTTTATAAGTTAAGGTATAATTTTATCTTTAAATTATTTTTAAACAAGAAATGTTGTCCTTACTGTTTAAAAATTATAAAATTAAATAAAAGTAAAATTATAGTAATTTTAAATAAAAATAATATTAAATGTATATAAAATAAATATAAGAAAAATATAAACTACAATTTTAAAACTTGTCAAATATAAGTAGATTTTGATTAAATTAGATATGAGTAGACTCAAAAGTATTTGCATTTTCATTTATAGCTATTGACATCTTCCAAAAAAAAAATGATCTTAAATTATATTTTATACATGTAAATTATTCAAAAATAAAGGCGGCTTTTCATAAAATCTAATTTTTGATTTTTTTTCTATTTTTTTAAAATTTTAAGCTTTTTTTAATAATATATTTAAAATCATCCAATTTTTTGAAAACTACTTTAATTCTTAATTTAACTTCAATTTTTAACTTAATAGCGGTATAACTTTTGTCCAATCCAACTTAGTTATGAAAATAGTTTTTTAGTCTGAATTAAATCATTAATGATGGCTTTAGTCGATAGTTATAGATATAAATATAGATATTTTTTACTTTACTCAAACATAATTTAATCAAGATCTACTTATATTTGACACGTTATAAAATTATAATTTATAACATTCTTAATTTATGATATTTTATTAACATACTATAAATTTTTTTATGATTATTTTATATATACATTTAATATTATTTTTATTTAATATTATTATAAGTTTCTTTTATTTTATGATTTTTAAATAGTGAGAACAACATTATTTTTTTGAGAATAGTTTAGGGACGACATTACTCTGACTTAATTAGTTTAAGGACAATATTGCTATAATGAATAGTTTATGAATAACATTGCTCTTCCAAGAATAATTTAAGGGCAAAATTATATACTAATCCTTTACATTTTTTTAACAGAAAGAGTACTGTATTTATAAAATGGGTTTAAACAAGAACTCTTTGAACCTTCTGTCACTTTATCTCTTTCACGTTCTATTTGATTTTGGAAATCATAATCATTAAAACAGTTCGTGTTCAACATAGGATGTGCATGAAGAAATTGTGTCTGACACTGGACACGAGCATTCTAGGTACTCCTCAAGCCTCTGTCAATGTCCGCGAATGGCCATAAATAAAAGAAAAAATGATAATAAAATTTTTTCAAAACATATAAATGATAATTTAATTTTTTAAATATCATAATTTTTTAAAATTTTTAGAAACTTTTTTATCATGAATGAATTCATATAAATTATTAAATTGTCTTTATTGAAAATAAATAATTCATAAGTTTTGTTTAAATATTCACAACTTTCTTTCTTATATTCATAACAATGCAACAGTAAATTATAATTTTACATATTAAATTCTTTATTTACTGCTGTATTGTTGTGAATATAATAAGAAAAGTTGTAAATATTTAAACAAAATTTGTGAATCATTTATTTTTAACAAGAGTAATTTGATAATTTATACAAATTTATTAATGGCAAAAAGATTTTAAAGACTTCGAAGAAATTATAATATTTTAAAAAATTAAATTATCATTTATATATTTTAGAGAAATTTTTTTTTGTCATTTTCTCTAAATAAAAGGCTTGGTGCCTGCAGGCGAACACAAAAGGTGACCCCTTTTTATCCCTATTTCACTTCTTATTTCATCCTCAATCATACCTTACGCCTCTATCCTTCAATGGTCCCATTTAGACAATCTAAATCCCGAACGAAAAAACACAATTCAGACTTAAACTACTCTAATTCATCTATGTTGAGAAAAAATAAATCTAAGATGTTAGAATTCTCTTAACCTAAAAAAAAAAAATGTTTGCAAGATTTAACACAAACAAGAAAATAAACATACCAGATAATTTTGCACCTAAACTACTCTTATTTCTCAAGTTTAATTATTTGAGATGAATCTAATTGGTATTTTTTAAGCTGAGACACAAGAAGATGATGTGCACACTAGATAATTGTGGGGTATTTGATAGATTATCGGCCCAATTCTCTCCAAAATTTTAAAGACCATAAACAAGAATTATCTACCAATGGTTGTTATCAGTATGACTCTCAAGAATTCATGATTATCAACCAAAAATTCCATTGGTATCTTCATTTTATTGGTATAAATCTTTTGCCAGGCTGCCAGCTATAAAAAATAAGAAGTAATAAGTAAAATTAAAATCTAAAGAAGCTTAAAATCCAAATTGTTTACTTACAAATGAAACTAATAATTAAATGGTATTTTTATTGTTAGATAAAATTTGAACCATGAATCGTATGTATTTCTTAACTGTTTGTTGATAGAATTTATTTTGTAAAATTTTCTCATTTCATTTGCCTGCAGAAGCCTCAACCTACTTACTACACACCGTCAGACCTCCACACACGCACACACATTACTAGAAATACCAGAAATATGGGTGATCTTCTTTCAAATGTTATTTTAGAGCAAACAAATATATTATATAAAAGTAAAAGGATTATAGTACAACAACATTTTGAAACAACCAAGGAAAAATAAAAATAAAATGCGAACAGAAATAATCATCGTCTAAAACCCAATGTCAAAGTGAAGAAAGTGAGTAAGGAAGGAAGAGATGTCCAAAGTCACAGCATGATTCTGGTTCTTATTATGAAGTTGATCCATCATAATAAGCTTCCTCTAAATGCAGTTAAGCCTCAAAGAGGTACGAAATTGATTGAAGGGAGATTGTAATTTTTGTAAAATTTGAAAATCCACCATAGGGATGAATGGAAACGTATGAGATGAAAAAATTGAAATATCTTGATTTTGCTTCCTGATGATGATACCATCTAAGAGATGTGCATCCAACTAAAGGAAAACCAAACAACGAATATTCTTCCCATGCTTTATTTCCTTCATCTAAATAGTCCAACCTGTAGAGTTCCACTAACAAACTTGAGAAAGCAAAACGCCTTTGAAAACTCTTACCTGATTAGATGGATGTGTAATGATTCCCAGATAAATTGATTGGTTTCTATATAACCCATATGAAATTGAGCATGATAATAATGGATCTTCTTTAAATTTTTAACCCTGTCAAAAGTGCAAACAATTCGGATAAGAACTCTTTGACATTTTGTGACATAATAAATTTGATAAATAAATGTGGAATATGTTGATGCCAAGGTCCATGTGGCCCCTGAACAGGCTTGTTTTGTCAAACTGGAATTCGCAATATAGCTTTCTCGGAATTTAAAATCCTAAAATTGTTTTCTTCAGTCCCTCCTATAACTCATCTCATCTTAGAATCATCGTATCCTCATCTACGCGGAACCCACCTGATTCCCACCTCAGCCCCGGCCATGGTGTCGCCGACAACCGCGGCCATCGTCACCGTCTTTGTCCTCTTCATCTCCGCCGCCGCAGCTGCAACCGTGTACACCAACCATACCGTCGGCGGCGCCAATGGTTGGTTCTTCAATGCCACCACCAACACTTCGGCCGCTAACTACTCTGCTTGGGCTGCTAGTCAAACCTTCAACCTTGGCGATTATCTCAGTAAGCTCAAATCTCAACCCCTTTATTTTTCACTCCGAACATTTTGCTGTCTTTACGGTGTCGTTTTATCTGGCAAAATGTTCTGTTTGATTGCATAGAAAATGGAGGGAAATGACTCAATAAGACAATAACATGAAGTACTTGCCAGATTTTCTTGTTCGTAGCTGGAAAAATTTTGAAACTAGATGAAATATTTATCGGTTGATGTACATTAATATGAAAATTTTTCTTTCACTCTTTCCAAGACCAAACAACAGATTCAGCTTTCATTTTCCTTTGTTATTCCTAATTTTCTCTTTATCTTTGGCCTGATCGATCATCAGTCTTCAACACCAATTCCAACCAGACCGTGATTCAGACTTACAACTTGACCACATACCAAAATTGCACAGCAGATGAATCCGACAATGGAACCTTCGTGTACAACGGTGGCGCTTCTCGTTTCGGCGAGGCGTTGGACATCGCTGTTCCGTTGACCATAGAGGGTCCCAACTACTACTTCTCAGACGCCGGCGACGGCGTCCAGTGCCAACAAGGTATGGCCTTCGAAATCAATGTCAAGCACGGCCAAGGCCTGCCCCCAAGTCTCAACCAGCCCCCGCCGCCGCCGTATATTGAACCTCCGGGTCCCAATACGGCAGATTCTCCGCCGATTACGGTGGCGCAGTCTCCAAACAACGCGTTCACTGCCCAGGCTAACGTGCGCCAGGTGTTTTGTGGTCTTTGTGCTGCACTGCTATTCTTTCTATTCCATTGACTTGGGAGCATTATGAGTGATGTTTGTGGGTGACTTGAAAATTAAAATATAATAAGCATGCTTCCTTTTTTTGGCCAGCAACAGGCTTTTTTTTATTTTTTTATTTTTTTGGGGATTACCTTGTGGCTCCTCGTGATACATTTGACAGTTGCTCATCACAGAACTTGTGTACTGGAATATTTATGTGGGCTTGTATGTATTCTCCTTTATTTTGTCGAAAAATTTCACTAAGGACCCATTGACCATAAATATTAAAAAAGGATACCCTAAAAATTTTGATATCTCATTGCAAGGCTAGGGCTCTAGTTTGATATTAAATTTTAAAGCCAAATCACAATATTACCCCTCATTGTAAGAAAAAAGAAATGTTAAAATTTAGTTAAAAGAAGGCAATGGAAAAGACAGACGGAAGTGTGAAAACGCTTTCTCCCTCTTATTCTCCCCCTATCTTGCTTCTTTCAAGTGTTGGCAATTTGTTTGGCTTTTTTTAACACTTCAATTTTATTTCTCAAAGTGCTTGTACTCGTTCTTTTTCTATTCATAAAAAGATTATGAATCTCATGAAAGTCATTGAAAGTAATTTCTTGATTTGTGAGTGATTTCTTTGTAGTTTTTACTCGAGCTATCTTCAAAAAATCAAACATAAATTAAATTGAATTAAAGATTTGAAAGTTTACTAAGAGATTAGGTTGAGGGTTTTTGGTTAAAAAAGTGTTTAAGAGATCATCACAGAGGAAATTTGGTTTTGGTGAAGAGATTGTGATAATCAAGTTGAGAGAATATGAGTTTCTTACTGGTAGGATTTCAAGATATAGGCAAGAATGAGAAGAGGCACACTTATAACACAGAGTCATATCGAAATGTTACCAATTTACTAGTATGAAAAAGTAGCCATTGGAAGTAAATTTTAAATGAATGGATGAGATTGAAAGATCAAGACAAAAGAAAACATACTTGTCATTCCGGTATGTCTCTAATATACTAGTATGTATAGTCCATATAGGTATGTACTAGTTCTACCAGTATGAGTATGGGTTTCTATATCACTATCTTTTATCATACGATATGTTGTGTTGATACACTTATGAGTTATTCATACCGATATATACTAGTTCTAATGGTATGAGTGTGAGTTCTATAACAACCTCTGTCATACTGGTATGTTGTGTCAATATCAATGAGTTATTTATATTGGTATGTATTAGTTCTAACGGTATGAAATTGGTTTCACCTAACTTAAAAAATTTTAAGTGACTTGTTTGTCACCCTATGACATCATGTTAATTTTACTACCTCACTTGTTCATTACAAGTGTGGATTTCTGTAATAGCTTTTGTCATATTGATATGTTGTGTTGATACTGATATAAGTTATTCATACCAATATATATTAATTCTATCAGTATGAGTTTGAATTTCACCTAACTTAAAAAATTTCAAGTGACTTGTTCGTCACCCTATTGTGTGTAGTTCATGACCCTACGGCATCTTGCTAATTTTGCTATCTCACTTGTTCATTATAATATTGACTTGAAAAAAATTCTAAGTGTTGGTTGATTTCATATTTGAATGACTTATTCATCACCCTACTTTATGTGATTCATTAATCTATAGAATGTTATTAATTTCTCTACCTCACTTGTTCATTGCAACACTCTGAGTTGATATAGAACTACATATTTATAGTTTATTTTTCTTGTTAAATGTAGTTGTAAATGAACATGAACAACTAATTTATTCCTATCCAATAACTTTTTTTTATATATACACAAAAAGAACAATTCCAATGAATTTCATGACAAAAATAACATACTAAAAGTTATAACATTGACATTGTTAATAACTGGAACAAATAATTAAGCTTTGCCTCTTCTTGGCATTGTTACTTGCAAGAAGTTGCAGCACAATATTGAGTTTAGAGTTCTTCTCACGATTCTTATCCAATGGAGTTGCAAAATTTCATGTGAGCTTCTCTTCTCAAGATTGACTCTATCATTAACTTACTGCTCTGTCCACTCTTTGACTACTTTTACATCATAGAATCTGCCCCTTTCAACCAAGGGAAATTTTTGTAGAAAAAAGATGTACAAAAACAAGTCAAACAATGCAAATAAACAACTATAGTGAGGGGATCAATAGCTAAACATTAGGAAATGAACAAGTCTTCATACATATCATTAACAAGTACACACAGTAACCAATGTTTCTTATGCCTTTAGGATGACCTAACTTCAACAATTGTTGATATTTCTCTATCTTCTTGCTCAGCTTATCCAGCATAAAAGTTGCCCAATCAAATTTGTCCCAAATGTTGCCAATGAACTCTAATACTTCCATTAATTTATTGCTTACAAATAGACTGATAGTAGGACAAAGTAGAGTACTAAGCATATAATGTATGAATAAAGCCTCAAATTTGAGTAGGCTACTTAACAACTATTGTTCAAGCAATAAACAACACGACTCAACTAATTCTAACTTTGCTTATTTATAACAATGTACCTCAACTGAAATTTTGCCTAATTTTTGACCAAGATTTCTGATAGGAGATTAACTTTCATAATATTTTCCATTCTGAAACAAAGATTTTACCAACGACTATTGAAATTAAAAGACAATTAACTTACATCATTGTGCTTCTAGTAGTTTTTTCGTAGTTACCTACAGTTTTTCTTCCATCAAATGCTTGATAGAACCTTCTTCTATGTCCAAGATGAGGAGAGAACAACACCAACCAAAAGAAGTTATAAGGTCAAGGGAGATTCTTGGCTAGGAACTCTGACAAACTTGAAAGTTTGGGAAGCTTACTACGTGCCTTGTCATCTTCTATATGGTGTTTGCAAGACATGTTTGCAATTTGCAAGACATGTTTGAGTTGTATACAGTTTTTTCCTTTTTCTTACAATAAGGGTAATATTGTTATTTGGTTTTGAAATTAAATATCAAATTAGAGCCCCAGCTTTGCAATGAAATATTAGGATTTCTGAGGTCTTCTTTTTAATACTATGATCAAGGATCCTTAGTGAAATTTTTCCCTGTTTTATTTTGACAAAATATGAGTAATAGTATTTATTAGCTGTTTGTTGGGAAAAAATATATTTATTTGTTGTTTGGTAAAAAAAAAGGCATTATTTATATTCAGACGTGGATGAGAAAATGGTTGAGCACTACCTATGTATTTTTTTTTGAAAAATGACAATTACATATTTTGAATTATTAAAATTTTAATAATAGACTATAGTCCTTACTTATAATAAATTATATTTTATTAATAGACTTGAGATTCATAATGGATTTTATAAATTTTTAATTAACGCTACAAAGATTTTCAAGTTTCTTTTGTTAATTTCCCAACTAATAGCAAAAAATCACAAGTAATTGGCTTAAGATTTATAATGGACTTTCATAAATGCTATAAATAATTTCAAGTGTATTTTGTAAATTTTTCAAGCAATTTATCTATATATTGACAGTAGAAAAATTACAAGTGATTAGTTTGTGATTTATAACTGATTCTTGTAAATTCTCTCATTATAAATAATCCTAAGTGTATTTTCTTGATTTTCTAAGTGGTTTTATTTGTATATTGACAACAAAAATTTGAAATTCACAATTAACTCTCATAAATTTTTAATTTTTTTCCAACTAACATTACAAATAATCCCTAATGTATCTTGTTGATTTTCCAACTAACTATTCACATTTTTTAATTGCAAGTAAGGATCATGGTCAGTTATTCAGATTTTAATAACTCAAGATTTGTAATAGTTATCAATATTTTTGTGGGATCCCTAATTATCATTTTTCCTTTTCTTTTAGAATTTAGATGGGTACACATTTACAATGTGAGGTTATAAGAGGGATTAGACCCACAACTTTCTACTTATAAGAGAGTTTGCATGCCACTAGGTTATAAAGTCACTTGTGGCCTGTGTATCTTTTATAAAAAGAAAATCAATGAAGACCAATAAAGGAACTTAATGGTTGAAAAGGATTAATAAATTCTAAATTTTCTCTACAAGATTCAATAAGGCAATAACTAAAGCCGATTATTCAAGTAGGTTGGGTTTATTTATGAAAAACTCAATTCGGGTAGGGTTTATTTAGGCTAGCTCGAACAAGATCAAACTTATAAAAAAAAACATATAGTCAAGCAATTATCAAATCTTTTTCTTTTTTAAAAATATTAATTTTTAATTTAAAATTAATTATTTTTATTATAATGAAAAATATAAAATATACTTTATATATATGTATATATATATATTTTAAAATAAAGTATTATTCAAGTATTCACTTGGGAGGCCAGAATAGGCCCAAACATTATTACAAATGTTTTATTTTACTAAGCCCGACCCTAAATTTTTCTAGACTTATTCTGTTAATCTAAATTACCAATTCTATTAAGAAACAAACTAAAAATAAGTTTTTATGAGAAATGAGAAAAAAATATCATTTCTTTTTTAAAAAAATCCCCGTCATCAACAGCTAGGTCATTAGAGTGTTGAAGACCAACTAAATCTTCAAGATGATGGAGGGGGTTTAAAGTTTAAACTCACAAAATTGCAAGCCAAAGTTTGAATTCCTATTGGAAGAGGTGTCCACATATTTAATACTCAACTGTGCCATTGCCATAGACATGATTGCTTTTAATAAGAGAATACATGTTAGCAATCAAGAAAAAAAATGTTTAAACTCATAAATCCTCAATTCAATAAGAAATATAAAATCATCAATGCTATATATATATATATATATATTAAACTTAGTTTTCAGTTTTCAAACCATTTACTTATAAAAACTTAAGTCAAGTTGTCATTTCATTAACATTTTCTTGCCAATTTATTAAGAAGAACTAATCAATAGAGTTTAATATGCATAAGGTTACTCATATTTACTTTGCATATTAAACATTGTTAAAAAATTCTGTAAAATGACAACTGAATATAATTTTACTAAAATGACAAGTTCATTATTTTTTATGAACAACAAGTTCACTTATGAATTTGCATATTTGTCAATTTTTTCTTTCATTCCAATGCTAATTAGCTATAGATATCAATAAATTGTATCTTAGAAGCATGAATTAGAATCTAAAAGAATTTTTTTTAAAAAATGTATGACTAATTCAACAATTGATTCCATTGATTCATATAAGTTCTCTGTTTCTCTAGTTTTCTACCATCTCTTGTCTGAATCATAGTTTAACTAGTTGAATTGGTAAACCTGATT